AAATCAGATGCAAACGGGCGCAAGCCAATTTCGGGTGACCCAAAAAAAACCAATTCGAAGGCGTGCGTACCAAAACGCAAGCCGCGAATATTAGGTTAGCCTGTATGTTATTTCAGCTCAACTCACCGTATCTCACCTCAACTCATCTCACTTTAACTTATCCAAACTCACTTTAACTTATCCAAACTCACCTTACCTGAACTCACTTTCCATTCTGCTCAACTCCCTTAATTTTAGTGGTTGAAATTCAACCGCTGGCGGAAAACTAGTATAGATAAAAACACAAATATTTTTTTGAATCCGGCATCAGATTTACTCCATTACATCGGGCTTTTGAGATATTCAAACCCAACAAAGCTTAAAAAAGCGGCTTGTTGCTTTTTGCACCGTAAATTACAGATATTACAGACATACTTAGATATTCCAGTGTTCGAAAAAATGGCGAAAAATAAATTAAATTTCGATTCAAAATGTTTGAAATCATCTTACTTAAACATTTTGAAGTTTGTAAGCGTAGACGAAAGAGGGAGACAGGTGGCATGCTTAACTTTCAAAAGTAAAATGATTTTTTTAGGCAAGCGTATTGCACCCTAAATCAGAAATAGTCACAAGGAAAAAAAACCCACAAATGTTCACGAGAGGCAAAAAACTGTTGATGCTAAGCAACAAATAAAGAAGATAGTAGAAAGAAGACATTTTGGTGCACGTTAGAAATATGCTAAGTGAACTGTTTTATGGGAAAAATTTTATTTTCAAAAAATTTTAGTTGTGATTGTTTTTCTATTTATGGTGCGATATGAAAGTATGTTTGTTTTGTTTCTTTTTAAGAAAAAAACTTTATTTTAAAAAGCATTGATGTATGTAGAAAGTTATTTACACAAAAAGTATATGTATATGTAGATTAAGTATAAGTTAAAGAGGTAGTGTATTTTTCAGTTTATTTACTTAAAAAGTTTACTATTTTACGAGGGTTGCTACTCAAGTGATAAAATATTGTAACACTAAGGTTAATGTGTCAAAGGTGTAATTTTCATTGTAAAGTCTGGGCTCTAATCGTAACATCCGTTCGCGGATCAAAAACCATACGAAAGAAAAAGACGTGATACGTCAGTCGTATAAGTTGATAGAGAGTACGTTCACGTACGTCATAATCCGAAAATTGTGTTTTTACGTGACGAGTAATACGATATCGTTGTGACGATTCGAGCCCTGATATTTTTATACCCGAGCGCACTTGTGCACAAGGGTATATTAATTTTGTTCACATAACGGTTGTTTGTAACAGCCAAAACGAATCGAGGTAGATATAGACAAATGTATACATAAATGATCAGGATGAAAAAAGAAATCGATTAAGCCATGTCTGTCTGTCCGTCCGTCTGTCCGTCTGTCCGTCTGTCCGTCTGTCCGTGTACACGATAACTCAAGCAAAAATTGAGATATCTCAACGAAATTTGGTATGTAGGTTTCCCTTAATCCAAGGTAGGTTGGTATTGAAAATGGGCGAAATCGGACTTTAACCACGCCCACTTCCCATATAACGGTAATTTCCAGAAATACGAAAACTGCGATATTTTAGTAACTACTGAAGATAATTCACTCAAAATTGATATTTACAATAATTTTTAGACGAAAAATAAGAATATTATAAATTTTTGGAAAATGGGCGTAGCCACGCCCACTTATGGTTACATGTGTATATCTTGGTAACCGCTGCCCCAATTTCTTCCAAACTTGGCACAGTTGTTGGCCTTCGCATAACATACCAAATGGCCGAAAATTTTTAAAATCGCTCAATAACCACGCCTATTTCCCATATAACGGTAATTTTCAGAAATATGAAAACTGCAATATTTTAGTAACTACTGGAGATTATTCACTCAAAATTGATATTTATAATAAGTTTTAGACGAAAAATAAGAATATTATAAATTTTTGGAAAATGGGCGTAGCCACGCCCACTTATGGTTACATGTGTATATCTTGGTAACCGCTACACCAATTTCTTCCAAACTTGGCACAGTTGTTGGCCTTGGTACAGCATAAAAAACCGCCGAAACTTTTTAAAATCGGACAATAACCACGCCCACATCCCATATAACGGTAATTTAGAGAAATACAAAATCTTCGATAAATCATTAAATATTGAAGCTCATTTTTTCAAAATTGATGGTTGCAACAATTCTTTACCAAGAAATGCGTTTATGGTAAAATTTTGGAAAATGGGAGTGGCACCGCCCACTTATGATCACATATAAGTATACCGGTAACCGTTCTACCAATTTGTACCAAACTCGGTATGGTTATTGTACTTGCCACGTGTAAGCAAAACGTTGAAAATTATTGAAATCGGACTAATATAACGGCCGATTCTCATATAACGGTAAATTTAAGAATTGCTTGAAACTTCAATATTTCCAAATTGAAGGACGCTAATTTACTCAAAATTGTTACAACTCGGCTTACCATCTAGCGGAAGGTTTCGGAAGGGTGAAAAAACATATATTTAATACTTGCGCCGGGTATTTAATGTTCGGCTCCGCCCGAACTTAGCCTTTCTTACTTGTTAATGGTAAACATACTCAGAACATTTTGTCATACGTACATATGCTATTGGTGTTGTTTCCAAATACTTCAATCATTCGTCATGATCATGGAACTAAATAATGAACATTTTCCACGATGTAGGGAGACAGAAGTGGCGCAATCAGCAGTACCGTTGCTTTGTGTTTGGCAAATTTGACAGAATCAGCTGTTCATGTGACGTCATTTTAGCAAACTGTTTGTATGTATTAAACAAGCAGCAGTGTGTCGAACAACCTGCTTCGACTATTGGCACCATCTCGATAGTTAGGCTAGCAAGCATTCTGATAGGAAAAACTTCTGTTCCATATGTCGATCCCATAACAATTTATATATTGTTGCAAAGCCCCATGTACGGTGACCATATTTATGGCAGCCGAATACGGCACATAAAATAATTTTCCCAATACATATGTAAATATTCAGTTGTAACATCACGCACTTGTAGAATACTTTTCCATAACTTTTTACTTTGTGCTCGCTATTTTTGCCCCGCAAACTTTGTTACAAACATTCCTAGGCAGGGAAACATAATGAAAATATCAGACTACTTTTGAAGTAGAAGTTGTTTTTTTAACGGATTATTTTCAGACTCGGATTTCAACCAAGCACAATGCAGTGCATAGCATGAACTGAACTGCAATCTTGCGATCTTGAAGAACTTCTCTACTGAACATTCTCCTGGAAGCCTTCTTATTTAAACTTTCTCACGTTTGAAGATACAATCCTTCATAAAATCAGTATTAATTTTTTGGCCTAGTTTCGCCTAATGAGTTTTGCTCTCTTCACAAAATTTGGAGATTGCCACACACCACAGCACATTGGACAGGTGATAGCACCAGAGCAAAAAACAGCAAGGTGTGTGTATTTTGTTGTTGGTTTTAAAATACATATAAGTAAACCAAGTTTGAAATTTTAGAGTAAACTGTAAACAAAAATGCCAATTTAAAGACGAATTTCTCGACAAAAAGTTGAATCAACAGAAGGAAAATGAAAAGCCATCCAATTTCTATTCAAACTCACAAATGTCCAGTTTCTCCACGCAAAATTTAAATTTCAGAAACCATCTACATACATATGTGCTCCTCAATTTGAATCAAAAGCGTCCAGATTTAAGAATAAAAATAGGTTCATTGGCATGCCATTTTTATGAACTTTTAAGGCATCAAAATACCGAATACGGGACATTAAAGGAAATACAAAACATTTGGCGTCCCGTATTTAATAAATAAAGTGCCAAGACAATGGACGAAAAAAGAGGACTATCCTGTATTTTACAGGACGGATGGTCACCGTACTTCTATGACAAAGCATTCTGTGTACGTTTGCTTTACAATGACAATGTCAGATTTGACATCTTCACATTCGTGTTTCAATATTTCCACAATTAAGTAGCAAGCCTCGTTTCAATAAAAATGGCTCTCTGATAGACGCATTAATGGATGTTGTACTTACATAAATATGTACATATCGTCGATGCCTTTGCAAAACCGCCCATCGACCAATTGCAAAACCGCCTATCTTACGGCACTTAGATTTTACAGGAAAGCGAAAAAACTGTTTTTCTTTTAAGGCATCCCTGCAGAAAAAAATTATCAATTGATTTAAATAACCAACTTCTAGTTAGCTTTTTTGTGGGATTTCGATAAATAACTAGCTTTTAATTAGCTATGATAAAACTAACTTTAAGTTAGTTATAAAGTCGTGCAGGAGTCGTGCAGACTTTATCGGGAGTTTGCTTTCTTTACATGTTTCTATTTAAATTACCTCATACAAAAATTATTTTCAATACACTTTCTTTCTGCACTTCGCAGATTCTTTTTCGTAGTCAGGACAAATAAAATAAAGGTCGGTATTTTATATTATCATTTTGATGTTTTGTCTGATCGAATTAAAATAGGAGACCAGTTACAAAACAACATGTAAACAAATTAGCAAATATGTAATGTTAAATAAAATATGTAAATAAATAAATATATAAAAAAATTGAAAAAATCTTTTTCTTTTTTTATTGATAGTTTAAGTCCAAAAGTAGTATGCTACAAGTTAGTTGACATCTAATGCAGAGGAAACTAGTTCTCACTACTTTGCGGCCATAGCCCTTCAAAAGTAATTAGTTACGGCCAAAGGAAATAGTTAATGAATAGTTACCACTAGTTAGTTAATAGTTAGCTACAAACTAGTCCCATTTCCTGCAGGGTGCATTGACTTGATAGGCGTTATTTTCTCTAGCAAATCTATTGCTTTAATAACTATCCTAAGATTTGTATGCATAAATCGCGATGCCTGGAGTTCATGGTTACCAAATCTCATAACTATTTGCCACAACGGCGATTTAGGCGGTTTTGCAATTGGTCGATGGGCGGTTTTGCAAAGGCATCGACGATATGTATGTATGTAAATTACCTTACAGTGTTCCTAATTACTATGTGATACCTGAGCGATTCTTAACTTAGTTAATCTTATGTATAAAATATGTCTTTTAAACTAATAGCGTCCAAAAATAATATTTAAATATAGGAAAATCGTAGTATTTTATAAGTTTGTACTTAAAATTCCTCCGCCAAAGTGCCTTACCAAATGTCATTCAAGACCATTTGTCAAACTGGCGGCATGAAGAGGTAAACGAAAGTGCAGAAAACTGCAAAAAATTTCACAAGAGAAATGCTTGCCATTTATTGCAATCCCACGGCCCCCGCCCATTCCCCACTTTCACGTGGCTGCAGCACCACTTTGCTCATTATCGTCGTGTTGAGTTTCTTCCGATTCAGTTGAGAGTCCCTTTAGAGATGAGATGAAATGAATGATGATTAATTAAATCGTTTTATTTTTTATTTTTAATTAAAGTCTCCACCACTCACCAGCCGCGTTGGACAATCGGCAAAGAAATGGGATTCGGATTTGCATATATGACAGCGTTTTGGTTGCGGTTCCTGCGGGCACATAGACGCAATGTGGTTGGCGAATTTGCCGCAATTGTAGCAGCGTACGCGTCGTCGCTTTTTTGTGCGCGGTCGAAAGGTACTACCAGTACAATCCAGTCCCTTGCTGCCGCTGACACGTGTCGCCTCCAGCCCTCGCTCGGTTAGCTTGCATTCGAATTCTACTTCCTCTTGCTCGGCCAGTGATCGGAAGCCGGACATTTGTATGACACTCTGTTGCAGTTAAAATTATAAATCAGCAAAAATAGGAGGAAAAATACTATTTTTTTACCTGATGAACAAACACCTCCTGGCCTCCGTCATGCGGCGTTATAAAGCCCCAACCTTTTGCCACATTAAACCATTTGCACTTGCCGTAGCGCACACAGTCCGTTTCCGTGAGATCGGCGTCTGTAAGAAGAATAAAGAAGAATAATTTAACACACATATAAACGGACACTATTAAGGGATTCACAAGGCGTATTAAGCGTCGTAATATCTTAAGTCTTAAAATTTTTCCCTGTAATAAAATGGTTTTAGGGGAGTCGATATGCATGATATATAAGAGCTAGTTATACATTTTGATTTTGTGAATTTTGATTTTTTTTATTAGTTGTGATTTCGTTTCAACGATGATGTTTGTTACGTCTTTTTGAATTTCAGGTGACGATATATAGCTTTACTTTGATTTTTGATATTCGACCACCAGTAAATTTTACTTGCACAAATATATTTAACACTATTCAATTACATTCGTACTCGAAAATTCGTTTAGCCATGATTCGGTATTATATATTTCAGTTAACATTTTAATGTGTATGTTGTATTTGATAAGCACACCAACAAAATATGTTTTAAATTTGTAGCTTAAAATATGCACACAAATTCTGACTCTAGCTCGTTTTCTATTGAAACTGAGCCCATTCAAAACTGCGATCTCCAAAATTTTTAAAAGATTCGGATCAAAAAGTTTATACACATTTTGTGGAGCACTTTTTAAATTTTTTAAATTTTTGTAAATTTTGTAAAAGTTTGAGACTTTAAATTACATGTTTTTTTGTTATAGATCAACTATATTTTTATAAAAAAAATAATAATTTAGTAAGGAAAGAAACTTGTTAATGTATTTTACTACTATTTTTGTGAACACAACTGTACACGCATACGTACATATATCTGTGACTTGTTTTAAACTAATGAATTGTTATATTGATAATACTATATGTATTAAAACGTCTATTAGTTATTTTTTTGTTTAAATTAATGCGCTTTTATTTGGTTGTTATTTTGTTAATAAACGAAAAAAGCGCTTAAAAATTAGCAGATTTTTATGGCTTTGTATTGATTTTTGATCCCTACTGTATTGGTTATGTCACTATAATATCTGGCTACCCTAATCATGATCATCTTATATATAGAAATATTTAGCCCATTTCTTTAGCTTTAAGCAACGTTAAGATGAAGTCTCTGATTTGAAGAAGTACATGATTAGTCATAATAGCGAAAACTCCAAAGTTTGAAAGATCCTACTGCCAAAAAAAGTCTTCGAATAGGTGTTAGCTCATTTCACGTATAGCATTCATTAAAACCCATTAAAAACTTTGAAGCCAATTGAAAGTTTGATTGATGTAGAGGAAAAAATATTTAGTCTAAAGGGAGGTTCGATGGGAAACTGAACCTCAGAGCACACAATTTTTCCTTTATAAAAATAACAAATGTGTGGATAAGCCATGAACACAAATCTTGAATCAACCAAAAAATAACAAATTAAAGCTTAAAATGCTTTTTTATTGCCTCTTTTATTTTTTGAAATCAAGTTCTAAGTAAATTTTTTTAGTGAGTTTCAAATAGGTTGTGTTGAAAGAACTGTCAAATAATTTGCGTCTCTTAATCGGATTGTTTGATAAGAAAAGTATGTAGTAGAACTCATCAGCGTTTAATAAACTTATATTTTATATTAAATTGTGTGACTGCTTTATCTATATTGCGAGTTATTATTAAGCATTATTGATCTTGTCCCACCCGTGACAAAAAAAGGTAAAAGTTGTTATTATTAATTTCAGAAGTTGAAGTTGTGTTTCGGGTTTGTTACATAATGTTAGAACTTCATTGTCAATGTTTACCTCAATTGCATTTTCGTTTCCACATAGTTAGATAAGAATAATTCAACAGCGAAGCATGTCCCAGCCGTGACAGCTACGGGTGGGACAGTTGCTAGAGGTAGGTTTACAGGGCTGATAAGCTTTATTTGTTTGTTGAGGTGGACGCAGGGGAGAAGGGCAGAAGCGCGGGCTCGCTCATTACCTATATACCCTTGTGGCTGATTAAGTTAAGTAATATTTTGACCAGTTTTGGTTTTTTCTTTTGTTTATTAATGTTCATAGTTTTTTTTCCATAAAAGTCTAGCACATTACATAACCAGAGCCACATAAATCCACATTTCAAACTTATTACAAAAATTATAAATTTCAACAAATTTTAACAGTTACACCCCAAAAATTTTAAACTTTTTGTTCATAATTTTTAGAAAAGTTCTAGGTATGCAGTAGGAAAAAGTGAAAATTTCAAGACGCTAGGAGATCGCGTTGATTTTAAATAATTTTTTTTTTGGCTGACGGTGCTAGGCTTTTTCTTCTATGTATGTATATAAAAGGCACTATCCTAAGATAAAACGTGAGTAAATTGAACCCCTACTTGGCTTCTTATATTTTTTAATAACTAATCTTAAATATGGACCACACTAAAAGCTCCTTTTCATATAAAAATTCGTAAGTGTCCCACCCGTGACAAACGTTGTCCCTTCCGTGACAGAGGAATTTCGGATTTTTTTATAATAAAGCCATCATTTTTGTTGTAGTTTTTGTTTGTTTGCATTCGTGGTTCTTTGTTTTATTATAAGACTTCAAGTTCACACAGAAAAGTGAAGTAAATTCGCAGAGCGTTCGTAAAAGATATCTGCTCCCAAAAGCAAGTTCTTTTTTTTTGTCCCAGCCGTGACAGAAGAAATAACTCAGATTTTTTCCATATAAAAGTAAGCTGGAATTTTTTTCGTATTTTGTAATAACTCATATAATAGTCAATTAGGTGTAGCTTTATCAAAATGTAGAATTGTTCAGTACTTTATATTTAAATTGAAGAAAGAAAGAAAAATTGTTTATATTCAAATGTCCCACCCGTGACAGTGGAATCCCCCTAAAATGTTTAAGTTTTATTGAGTTTTAATCATATATGTAATACTCCTATATTGGCAGTAAGAGCTAGTACCGTCCGAAAACACTACAGTACAGATTTATCAATAAACACGTACGAAAGAAAAGGAACACATACGTTTATAAATTAACATGTACACAACACATAAACAAAAACGGCACTCAAGTACACAATACATTGACAAAAACGGCACTAGACTGTCTCGCTTTGATTTCGGAATGCTTACACATTGAGGAGTTAGCTTACTGCCAATATAGAAGTATTACATATATGGTTTTAATAATATTTTTGAGCTTTTCTCCCAGTGCTGCAATTTAGATTTTTTTTTAAGTATCAGTAAATGAAAGCTTGTCTTTTTTCGTCAAATAAATATGTCGGACCGAACATGGGATCGAAATAATTGGCAATTGCATAGATGTTTTCTGCGCTCCGGTACTACGCGTCGTATAGCTGCAGCGTTGTCAAGCGCGCCGTAGAATACACTTTTTTTCAAATATTTCAAGCATTTTTTTGGTGAGCCGTCCTAATGCATACATATATGTACATGCATATGTATTATGTGAAAACAATAACGATATATAGAAACATGACAATGGCCTGGTTAATTTGAATACAACTCACATTATCCTTGCACATTTTTCGCCTTTGTTATCCTACTGTCGGCTACCTGATTTGTCTACGAGTAATCGACAATAGGAGCAGACACGTTTGCTAGGCGAAAGAATCTTGTTTCTGCTGTGGGAAAAGAACGTGTTTTACTTATATGAGTTTATTTGGGATAGTTGAGCGAATTCCTTCAAGCTGTATGTTTTGATTTCCCATTTAGATCGAGTTTTTAGATGTCGACCGGTGCAAACGAAGAAACATGCAAATATGTAAATATATAGAGACACAAATACTTATGTAGAGTAATTACTTATTTATCAAGAAATAGAGAATACTTTTCAATTTCTTTTTTGTACGTATACCGAAGTAATGCTAACAAATCTGTGCATACTTTTTAAATAACAAGCAGGCGTTGTATGAAGCACTTGTCAAATGAAAGAGTCGATTTCAGCTCAAAAGGGTACCAGCGTTGCCGTTTTAGATGGTAGCTTCATTCTCCTTTGGCAGCTTGGTTGGTTTGATGAAGCCTTTGGTGGGCAAAAATGTTTTGAGTATACAACCAAGTTGAGCAATCGTATAAGATTTTTTTTTTTTTATTATTAAGCAAACAATTTTCTGCAAACAAAAACTCACTTCCCAAAGTTACATATGCCCCATCAGCTGTTGAATTAGAACGAGAAATTACCTATGGTCTTAAAGGAAAAATTTGCGATAGGCAAATGCAAGGTTTGAGTGTATTTGTAAAAAAGGGTGAAAGTATGCAAATTTAATAAAAATCGGAAATTCTTTTACTGAAGTGCATAAACTGTGTGATTTTGTTTTTTCACACACCAAAAAAAATATTTGATACGTGTTGAATTAATCCCAAAGGTATTTAGATTTTATACAAAAGTTTTTTATACAATATGTTAATTCTTTTATTTAAAGGCCCGAATTTATTTTGTTTAACCTTCAAGTTTGGTATGAATGGTTAGCCAATACTGTAAACATAATTAGGTGTAGTTTAATTTTTACTGCTAATTTGTGTAGTTAAAAACCGCGTTAATTAAAGAAATCTCATTTTAATGATGAAAAAAATGTTGGTAGCTTGAACACTGCTTTGGTAGGCGTTTTCGTACCTACAAATATTTTCAAGTGGCAACACTGTATGGTACTATCAACTTTTGAAATGTACCTACCTTTCTACTAGTTCTAAAATGCATAGTGTTTCGTTACCAAATCGTTTGCATTGAATCTTTGAATCAAATGGAGTTCGTATTTATTTCACTTATATCTAAGTTATGGATAGCATTATCATTATTATCATTTTTATCGATATTTTAATAAATACCGATAAAGAGTAAAGTCGTGCCAAGTTATCCTCAAAAACTCCTATCTATGAAAAAAAAACTAAAAAAGCAGGAGCAGTAATGAGTTTTTAATGTATCTAGAATGTAATTCAATAATATAATTGGAAAAAATAATACTAAATCCTTAACTTCAGTTTAAATTTCAAAACTTTACGTCCATTATAAAAACTCGGCAGAATAACCGCCTTTTAAATTTTTTTATTTGCATGATAGCCATGATAACGTACCGATTCAGTTTGAACGTTA